CGGACCGGAAAGCCGTCTTCCACCGGTCTTCCTTAGCCATACGTATTTGATGGAATCCTGCTTCAAGATCCAAGGTGGAAAAATACTTGGCGCCTCCCAGCAGCTCGAGAATGGTTTGGGTGGGAGATAAGGGAAATTCAGGGGCTATCGTAAGGGCATTTATAGCCTGGTAATTGACAACCATACCCATCTTCCGCTCCCCGGAGCCATCATCATGTTTGTCCACCATGATCGTAGGAGAGCAAATAGGCGAATAGGTCGGTCCGATCCAACCATTGTCCGATAATTTAGCTATCTCCTGTTTGTGGAATGTGAGCTGATCCGGGGTCATACGGTATATTGCAGATTCCGCTGGAAGTTTTCCAGGCACAACGAGAATATGGTGATCATGAGGGCGCTTCGGCGGTAATCCTTTAGATAAGGTATCGGGAAAAGCCGCTCGATACGCGTGCAACACCTGGGCGACCTCACATGGAACATCCTGCGCCTCTGGCGAAGTTATCCATTCGTCGAACAGAATTTGCTCTAGTTTTGCCATAGGCCAGGGAGACTCCTCGTCACTCTCCGCTGCCACCTAGGCGGTTGAGGCCAAAGGACTACGCCAGCCGGAGGACGTGGGTTGATTCCCAATTAACGCGCAACAAAGCGCGTCTTGCCATTCATCCGAGAGCCTTAGGGGCACTGCCGAACCGGCTTCGGGCAAAGCGAGTATGAGATGCAAACCGTGCAATGGAGTCCTGAGATCATTTGTGTCAGCCGCCGCCTGATGAACGAGCGACGTTATCCGCGCCTTCGCCTTAGTCTTCGCGTGGGACTTATATCTTCTTGGAGGCGGGAGTAGGAATATAGCTGCCTCCTCGGCTGACATACCTGCCACTTGTTTGGCCAATATCTCATGTGCTTGCTCTGCTGGGGTCCTTGGGTGGACGACGGTGGGACTATCACTTTGCAGCGTTGCTTCACCAGTCCGAACGACCGGTAACTCGCACCACTGGCCATTCACATAGGTTCGGAGTTTGTCAGACTGAAAATACCAGACCACCTTGTGTTCCGCCAGCCAATCCAAACCCAAGACTACGTCATAGGGAACGGTTCCCACTAAAAAGTCCCCGGAAAAACGTACATGTCCGCACCACAACGTCAATCCTGTCACAACCCGATCAATGCGTAGTTGTGCACCTGTAGCTACGGTGAACCTATGTTCTTCTGGAAGTCTCCGCACTTTCATCTGCAGTCGTTCGACTGTTTTAGGACTAATGAAACTCCTCGAAGCTCCAGTGTCCGAAAGGGCCTCCCAAGGACTCCCTGCAAGCTCAACGCGAAGTACCGCCGTCGCACCCACACAACACAACGCTCCCCCTTGGTCGTAAGACTCTTTCCTGCAAGTCTCCCGCCACCAGTGTGGCACAATCGCACTCGCGTCTGACCTATAGCCGTCTTCTGTTGCCTCTGCAGACTTCCTGCTGCTATCCGTCGTCGCGTCCGGAGTCTCTTCATTCAGGATCGACGCTGACCCAGACTCCACCGCATTTCCGAAAGCGGCTGAGTCCCTCCCGCGTGCCCATCGCTCGTATTAGTTCTTCCCGCAGTGCGGAGGAGTTGGTTTCCCCACTCAAGGGAGACTCGAATGGCATTAGGGCCTGTCGCTACCGCACACATCATCCCTTTGCCATGGCTACGCGGCTTAGAACGCTCGTCTCCAACCACGCCTAGGCCCGCACGTTTAGTCGTTCCGTCTTCTCAGTGCTAGCACGGGTGGGCGCCCTACTGCTCTTGCCCACCGGCTCGGGCCGGCCTCGTTCACACGTAGGACAGTCCCGACCATAGTGTCCCACACCGCCACACTTCTTGCATATTTTCCCCGGACGTTTGGTACGTTCCCCTTTGCTGGGGCAGACACGTGCCGGATGTCCGCGACCCTGACACTCAAAGCAGTTAGTGTGGGTTCTCCCAGGGCGATTTTCAGTTTCCTGGCGCCCACGGGGTCCATTAGCTTGGATGGCAGCCCTAATGGCTCGACTTGTCCTTTCTCGGAGTTCCAGCACACTCTGCTTGGGCTCGTAGAGCCGTGTTGCGGCTGTCGCCGCTTGTTCCCACGAGTGATTTTTCACCTGTCCGTTATTGGTTATTAGAAGATGGAGGTCTGTCGGTAGCCCGGTGCAGTAATAGAG